CCCCCCCCCCCCCCTACAGCGCCGATAATAGCATAATGGTAATGGCCGTCCGCCTGCATCAACTTTGGGGAGCCCTGGATGAGTATATATGCAACAAATGGTGGTCTTAACACACAAGATACCATTCAAACACAAATTGTTACTAAAAAATTACTGAATACACCATTTCGATAATTGTGTCATTTGGCTTGGGAGCCTCGCTCTCACGAGCCAATCACCTTGCGTAATTTACTAATGAGAGACCAAAAAGTATGTGTGAGGTAATGCATGAGTCGCTTCCAGGAGTAACAATCCCCCCCCGGCATTTGATTAATTGATTGGTTACGAAAGTGTAAATGCCTGGGTGCCAGGACACAACTTGAAGACTAATGCACAGCCCTTGGGCAAGCTGAGAGTGGAAAATGCCTCACCCCAGGGACGATTTTAAATGTTAATTAAACTTCTAATGGCATATAATAGCATAGTCATTTAATAACATCATAGTGGTATTAGATTATTATATAGAGAATAATACATGGGTGCCAATACAAGCACCCATGTATTTTTCTGTTTTTCTGTTAAATTAAGCGATAATTTTTACAGAAAAGCGATAATTGAAAAGTGATAATTTTCACATGTGAGATTATCATGAATAATCTCACATGTGAGATTATCACTTTTATCAGTGCTCGAAATCTCTATAAAGCACTATACTTTACATAATAAAAAACTTTAATATAAACTTGAATCTTGCTAAGAGTGGTTAAAAGTATTTAAACAATGAAATCATAAACCTTTATAAATAGTTGTATTTAAATTTGCATGGCACAGGTTATAATTTTTGCTTATTCTGACAATACATTTCATGCCACCTTGACCACGAGGGCGCAAAATTGTATCAGCGCGCCCACAGCCCCCACACGCATGCCTGGGATTCTGGACAAGTCCATTTGTCAAATCCCCGGGTTTTTAGCGACTATAACAACACCCGGCCCCCATACAAATTCCCAACCCCCGTGAACTGTCTATCAGGCAAATTCTCGGGGGTGTCCCAGAGGGGGGGGGGGGATGGTTACTCCAAGAATTGACTCATGCATAATTATCGAAAGGGTGTATTCATGTTTTAAAAAATCTCTACAAATTTTACCAATAATAAAATATCTCATTACTAAAATTTTTCCAAAATTGGCAAAATTTTACCAAAAGTAAAATATATTTTACCAAATCTGGTCACTCAAAAGTAAAAATCTCAGACATGCCAACTCTCCCGATTTTTCCGGGAGACTCCCGTTTTTACAGCTCGATTTCATCTCCCGCACGATTTTGGATATTATCGTAAAACTCCCGACTTTATCTTCAGTTCAACAACTTCAACAATACATAATATTTTCATCAATCATTGCACGTTTTTCGCTTTTTCTTCTTCATATAAATTCATCTGAGTTAATAACGTATTCGAATAAAAAATAGTCTAAAGCTTCAAACCGGTACCGCTTATTGACCTTGTATCAATTTGGGATAACAGATGATAGTCGAGTACTTTCTCAGTTCTCACGTGGCAGTTCAAAAATCAAAATGGCGGAGTCGGAAGAAGAACCTGTTTCAAAAAAGAATATTTGGTTAAGTTTAATGATTCATGGCCCGATAAATTTAACTTCATACGGAAATCTTTCAAAGGTGAAAACTTTGCTTCATGTACTGTATGTAGAAGTGACTTCAGTGTTGGCCATGGTGGAGAAAATGACATTACTAGGCATGCTGCTTCTCCAAAGCACAAGGAGTGCGTTAATAGCTTACAAAACCAAAGAAAGTTAACTGATTGGGGAGCAAGTTCTTCAACCTCTGACTTAGACAAAAATGTAACCAAGGCCGAACTACTTTTTGCCGGATTTTTGGTTGAACATAATCTTCCTTTAGCCACAACAGACCATGCTGGGAAATTATTTAAATCCATGTTTCCAGACTCAAAAATAGCCAACAAATACAAAAGTGGTCGCACTAAAACGTCCCATATGCTGACTGGATCAATTGCAAAGAATCTAACTGATAATTTAAAAGAAGAATTGTCTTTAACCCAGTGGTATATGGTTTGGCTACAGATGGAAGTAGTGACAAGGACGATAAATTTTTACCAGTTTTAGTAAGACATGTTGGACAGGCGTCTGGTTTGATTGAGACTTCATTACTTGATATGCCAAACATCAACAGTGGGTCTACCGCTCAGCAGATGTATGATGTTTGCAACGAGGTAATGGAAAGCTTTTCATTAGATTGGCACAATTGCATCACATATTCATCGGACAACACCAACTCAATGGTTGGAGCTCATAACAGTCTCCTGAAGAAAATAAAAGACTCCCAGGGTGACCAAAAAGTTTTTGATGTGGGATGCCCATGTCACTTAGCTCATTTGTGTGCTGGAAAAGGAGCTAAAGAACTTTCGGTCAATATCGAAGATTTTGTTATTGACATTTACTATCATTTTCGACGAAGTGTTAAGCGTAAAGCACAGTTGAGGGATTTCATGGAATTTAATAACAACGTAGTGAGAAAAGTAATAAAGCATGTGTCTACAAGATGGCGCTAAGTCTTGGCAAATGTCTTGAAAGAACCCTGAAGCAATGGGACTCCTTGGAATATATTTTCTTTCTTATTTCGACTTAGAAGATGATCCTGAAGATCAAACTGACGAGACGGGCAACAGAGAAAAGAGACTAGTGAAAGCATTCAAAAATACAATCACAAAATTGTATGCGATGTTTGTCCAGTCCGTAATTCCAATCTTTGACAGCTTTAACACCTTCCTTAATCAGAGGAACCACTGATACATGTTTTACATCAATCTGCCATTCGGTTATACCGTTCATTACTGACACGATTCATTTGTGCTGAAGTAATTTCATCTTCAGAAGATGTACTTAGTATTGATCTTGATAACCCTGATTTTGCGAAGGGTGACAACCAGATATCCATTGGAGCTATGACCAAGCAGTATGCACGAGATAATGATATCATTGGCACCAGTCAATATAAGAAATTCCTGAAAGAATGCAAGAAATTCTACATGACATGTGCCAAGTACTTGCAAAAATCAATGCCAGTATTACATGATGAAGTGATCAAATCATTGACTTTTTTAAGACTTCCTGAAAGACACCAAGCATCAACTGATGATTTAGAAGTGATCATCGATAGATTTCCTAATGTCATCAATTCAGATGATCTAAATGATCTTGAGGCTGAATTTCTTGATTATCAAGCTGCACCTAACACAGAACTTCCAGCTTACTTTGATGAGGATGACAAACCAATTCGTATCGACCAGGTTTGGCATAAAATTTCATTGCTCAATGATGCCTTTTCAGGTCTACCACGCTTCAACCACCTTGCTAAGCTGGCTAAAGTCCTACTCCTGATTCCCCATAGTAATGCCTACTGTGAGAGTGTTTTTAGCACCATCAGGAAAATTTGTACAACTGGTAGGCACAACCTTGGAAAGGATGCTGCTAAAGGCCATGCCTCAACTAGTGTATACAAAGACACCACATCAATCAGAAATAACCTACTTGGTATTTTAATTACAAAGATAAACATATTTGGAAGACGTAAAATTCAATGCTATGAATGGGAACCACCAAAACAAGTCATTAGCCATGCTAAGTCTGTGACATACACCAATTTGAAAGCTCGAAGAGATGCTGCCAATGATCAAATAGAGTAAAGAGAGACTTGCAAGAGGCTTCGGGACTTTTTATGAGATCCATGTGGGCTTTATATAATATCTAGGAAGAGACAGGGGTGCAATTACTGCTCATCATGTTATTATATTGAAATAAAAATTAAAAAACTAATTTCTTCAATTATTTTCGAAAATTTTTCTCAGGCAATCAACTGGAAGACCGCTTAAAATTCAAAATCAGCGCAGGGACCTTGGCCCATGCAACTAGGTCATTGTCTGACCATACTTCCCAATCTCCCTCTTTGCTTACTCCCAAAGTTGGCATGTCTGAAATCTTCACAGCCAACAACTCTCTCTGCATTCTTCTCTTGCATGAAATCAAACGGAAAGCTCTGCGAAGGAGCCAGACCCAAATTTAAATATGTTGGACCTCTGCTTTACTATAAAATATTTCCCTATATAACTTTTATATTTGACAATTGTTGAAAACAACAATTAATCGGGCCGATTACCTAATGATATTTGAATAATGATTATTACATTATTACCTAATGATTACTTTTACCTAATGATATTTGAAAAATACACTGTGACAAAAAACCTGAAATCGGCCCGATTATAAATCGGTGTGTGTAAAATTTAATAAAACAACAAAGTGACCATTTTTAATAATACTTCTGTCAAATTGTCAATTGACTCAAGCAGGGATGCCGGAACTGGGGGGGCGGGGGCAGCTGCCCCCATTGCCCTTTACCAGGAGGGGGGCAAAGGTGCCCTTTCAATTTAAAGGATTGCCTTGGGGGCCATTCACAAAGGATGTCCGGCCAAATGATGGATTTTCAGACCCCCCCTTGTCCGAATAAGTGACACCCCTCCCCCCGGACATCCGCCATGCCTCGCAAAAAC